AATTCCAAATGACAGAAGAGATTTTTTTTTCCCCACAAAATCACTTTTGCAAAGTGAAACACTCAAATGCACTTCTGATGTTCATTGAAATGTTATACTTCTGAGGGGAAAAATGGAAACCAATGTTTTTGTTTAAAAACATGTTTTTAAAAATCAGTTACTGGTTAAAAAGATTAGTTATGTTTTGAAATCTGATGACACTTGGGATTTGATATTTACACATTTTCCCAGAATGATTAAAAATATTTTTTGAAAAATCAAGTCCTTTCCCTGCAATATGTTGAAAAAAACCCAATATTTATTCAGTAAAATTCCTTGATAAATAACGGGCACTTTTACACCAGCTTCAGAAAGAAGTTGATTTCCAAACTAGCAAGGCCCTACACTGGACTGAGAAATCCTGGCTTTGGATTTATAAACTATGTGTATAAAAACCAGAGAGGAAAAAGAATGTAATACCTACTCTTATATCTAGATATATGTCTCTAAAATAGATTCTTTGATCTTCAGTCACACAAAACTTCAATTAACTATTTGATTTCACTGGGCTTTTGTTCGGCCCCTGGGATCACGTAATGTCAGCCCTGGAGATACTTATATTTAGCAAGCAGAGGTCACGATGAATAATACTTACTCAGCCAACTAAGGCTTTTAATTGGGTTTTTTTTAGGACCTGGTTCAGTAGCCCTTACTCATATTGAGTAATATTCACTGCATAAATAGTACTGCTGTTGCAGTCATATTAATCACCTAAAGCACTGGTGAACTAAGCCCTGAATAAGTAACAACTCTCACATTTATCCAAGTATGGCAATTTTGCCCCAAATATCCACATACCTCCTGACATACAAAAATGCTCTTGATTACCGATAATCTATTGAACAGCAATATGCTTACATAATAGATAATTATTATTATACTGTACTACATTTTTGTATTTTTATTATGGGAATCAATGTGGCACCAAGTAACAGCAAAACTGTGTCCATGCTAAAACTACATGTTGATCTGTACACTTCTGCTTCTAGTACATCTGTAAAATGTAACTAAGAAAATATGTGAGGGAGAGAGATTCAATTCTGAGGTCTGAATATACAGCAAAAAAAAATGTACCAGTCTAATACTAGCATACAAGCCTACTACCTTCTAACACTGAATCTCTCTCTGGAGAGAGTTCCCGGTTCCTGGAATGAAAAAAAAATCTGTAATAGAGTTGAATTACATAAAAAGGAAATCAAGAACTACCTCTGTTTCCAGGTATCCCTTGCTTTCCAACAAACACACGTACATAAATAAAGTCAGGAAAACTTGCCAGGAAACACAATCCAGCAAATTGTTAGTGAAGGAAAACCAGTATTACTTGCTCAGTATTATTTGTTTCTCACCATCCTTTCTCTCCCTTTTGACTTTCTGTTCTACACAGTTAAGTTCTCATGTATAGATGTATGTATATGTATGCATATATATGCCCTACCTGAGTATATGAAGGATTATATAAGGTGACTAATCTGCTCTTGTGCTGACCCTCCTACCAACTGGTTTTAAAAACAAATCCAAATGAATAAAAGTGGCTTAGAATCATCCCCAGTAAAGAGGCAATAAAGCTCCACTGCCAGTGAAAAAGAAAACAAATAGGCACTTCAGTGTCTAAAGTTGCAATCTAAAACTAGCTGGTGTGCAGATGTATTGTTTCACATTGCTCTGGGCTCGGCTCTTCCAGGTTTGATGCAGATGAAATTCCCACAGATGCAGGGGAAAGCTGCGTGTACCTTTTGTTACTCAGAATTACCGATTACGTAGTGTCATAGTAGCAGCCACAGCTCTGGGAGCAGGGTTATTGACCTTACATGTAATAGTGACTGAAGAAAGCTCATGGTCTGCATAATGCATTTCCATCCTCTGTTCTTTACAGGAGAAACCCTGCTGCCACCACATTGAAACCCCAGGGTTCAGGGAGTTAGGTCCAGGCTAAACCCCGTATATCAGGTCATCTCTGCACCCTCTGCAGGCACAGAAACATGGGCTGTCCTCTCTCTGCGAAGGGAACATGCTTACCCCAAGGGTTACGGCGATCTAAGGAAACACTTCCCCTAACTCAGAAGCGCTCTTTGCACATTGTGTCTGAGATCAGTACCCCCTGAAAATGTTGCAGGTTTTTGTATTCTGGGCAAGATTTGCCTTTTGGGTGTGTTTGTTTAATGCCATCCCTGTGTTTTAAACATTTCATGTTTTAGCAGATTTTTAACAGTAGCTCCACTTACAAGCTTATTTATAGAAGAACTACAAGCAAATCTCTTTTCCATCACAGTTTTTAAGTGAAGCAGCAGAATATTCTGAGTGGCACTGCCTGTTCACAAGGTTTGTATTCAAGCTGATATAGGTAGAAGACACAAACCATTTTGTACCAGTTTTGCTGTACCACTTGGTAGGTGTCTGCAAGAACTACAAATAATAAACCTTTAATAACTGAAGCTGCCCATTTCAGACAGTAACGCCATTCTCTTGCTTATGTTGAGGCAATTCAGAAAAAAACAACAGCATGTCACTGGTGAAACTAGGATAAGCAAAAAAGAGATTCCAATCTTGAGTTTAAGCACCGGCACCGGGTCCCTGGATCACAGGGAGTGCTATGCATTGTGCGCTACAAAGCCAGCAAAACTTCCAAAAAAAGTTAACTCTCTGCCTAAATGTATCTCATTCAATAGAAGAAACTCTCTGCCTAAGTGCATCTTCATTTAAAAGAAGAAATTCTTTCCTAGCATGGCAACTCTTCTGAGGTTTATTCCATATGTAGAGCAGTTCTCTTTCAGGAGGGTGTTAACATCAGCTTCGTGTTCTCTTGCTAGCATTCCCTTTCAGTATGAAGAGGCTTCTCTGTCACACGGGCATTACAGGCAAGTAACCGCTCTCTAGCATGTCGCATGTCTGTGCACAAAAGAATTTGCACAAGGCAGAAATGACACTATGTTTTTCACATCAAGGAAAGAAAAGTGGGGATCTGTAAATGAAGCGTACAGGGAAGGTGCCCTTTGGATCAACAGGTCAAACGAACATTTCTCACAGTGACTGGATTCTCTAATTTCTGAAAACAACACTACTGCAGTGTTTACTCAAGTGACATGCCCATTAATATCAATAGGAGAAACAGTGGGTTTAGACGTAGCCCAGTAACATGGAACATTTTAAAATCTTCATTTATTTCTGCTGTTTGTCAATCTTTTTCTCTCTGCGTTTTGGTTTTTTTTTTTCCAGATAGCATACACATAGAGCATGCATTTATTTTATTTTGTTCTCAGTTAAAAAAAAATAGGAATCCTAAGAATTTAATCCTTCCAGACTTTTCATTCAGTCATTTCCACCAAACCACAGGGAAGAAAACAACATTACAAATACACCAAATAAGCCCCGAGTGAGTTCATGTGTGTGTTCCTAACAAATTAAATCCATTGATGTTGACAAAGGAATGAGAATTCATATTGCAGATCTTTCTCACTTAGCTCATATTTTGGTTTTAGAAACTTCAGCTGGACTAATCATGTCTAAGGCAGATGAAACAACTTCTTCTAAGGCCAAACAGTTGGAAGTATACAACAATGGTATTTCAGGCTATGCAACTGTGTGCTCGACAAAGAAAGAAGAAATCTTGCAAATCTTTCCTCTTTGCATGCTTGCACAGCAGTAGCCGTGGTCTAGTTCTGAACCGGCAGCTCCTGCCTTCTCTCCACCCCACAGGCTTTCTGCGAGCAGCCCTGCAGACCAGTAGATGAAAAAGAGGTACGATATTACCATGCCTCCAACAAATACACTGCATCCGAGTTGTTTTTGTGGAAGTCAGAGACTCGCCCCCACGCTGCTTTTAACACACCTCAAAGAGTGGCCCTTTTCTTTCCGGGACCGAAAGCACCCGACCTCAGACTGAGGAGAAAGTCATAGTCAGTGGAGCTGTGGGAAGTAAATGGCCTTGGAGGATCTCTGGCACTGACACGCTCCACGTCCCACCCCACCCAACCCCAGTGTAGGCATATAGACCTAAATCTACTGTATGGATAGGGCAAACACCATTCAGAAAGGGTTTGGGGTTCCCCTTTTTCCACCAACAACCCTGGTAACATCATGTCGTGAGGAAAGAGGAGCTTTGCAGCCGGTTTGCAGACAGGGAGGCCGGCCAAACCCTCTGTTACCCCCGGCGGAAACAGACCAACAAAAGGCGATGGTGGCTCCAGAAAGAAAACCTCTGTATTAAAAGCCAAGTAACGCGGAGCTACAATAATAAGTACACACTATCTCAACTGGGACATACAGTGTAAAAGGTTCATTAAAGTTCAGCTTCAGCAATAACAATATATATACTGCTTCAGTTCTCGATCCTGCCAAAAAGAGACTTCCCTTCCTGTAAATAAAGAAAAAACCTGCTCAAACTGTACTCATATACAAAAAAAGCTACTCCGACTACCACAAACGCAGTTGAATGGGAGGGTCTTTTATTTCCTGCGTTGATTTGGGGGCGGTGGGGTGGAGGGGGCTTTTTTTTTTTTTCTTCTTCTTCTTTTTTTACTAAAAGGTTCGTTTAAAACGGGTATTAAAGATATAAAACGAGCACACAGGAGCCGGTCGCCTCCGGCGGTGGGGCGGGCGGCGCGGCGGGACGG